CACTGTGAGAGGAAAAGATTGTCGGGTGGAGCGGTTTTGGAATATTCAACCAATCCGAAGAGGTTTCACAATCCATGTTTTGGGTTTGATTCATCAAGAGTCTACTGATTGGATGTCCATGATGCTTCGTAGACCCCAGTAGCTTTTTCGTAGAGGCCCTGTTCAGCCCTGTTCTTAACTTCTTAACCCTTAGCACCCTTAGCAGCATTCATCATCTGATTGGCAACCCACTCAGCTGTGGAGAACCCACGCTTTTGGCCCGACTCCACGGCCCGACTCCTCCACGCCGGTGGCGGTGCTTCTTCCCGGTCCCGCAGGCGGTGAAGCTTCTGGCGGCTTGGGCCGACAGAAGCCGATGGTCGCCGGTCGAGGGTCCGATGGTGGAGGGTTTTGGGGGTCCTTTGGGGATCAGAGAAGAGGTTCGATCCGTTTCTGGTGTCATTTTTGGGGTGTGTGTGGTGTGGATATGAGCAGTAATTGCGACAGATGTGTTGTGGATGTGCCCATTTGTACTGCCCCAATCACTGTTCGAAGCACCAGCGCTGGAGCCTTCCAAGGTCACCAGCACTGGATGGCCCTCAACACTGGCTTACAGGGATATGGAGATTGCACCCCGAGCGGATGGTCCCAGGGGTTGCGCCCCCCCTTGAGAGATGGACGACCGCTTGCACCGGTTTTCAGGCGTTGGAACGAGGCGTTGGACGGACACGGAGCGCCGCCTTGAGGTCTTTAGCGCGTTCGAGCGCCTCCACGCCGGACGCGGAGGCGCGGAGGGTAGGCCAGTCGTCGGTTGGGGCTGGCGCGAACTCCGTGAGGCGTGTCCAAACCGCTCATCTGTGGGGGGGTAACAGGAGTTCGTCCAAGTGGCTGTTTTCCCCGGAGAATCGACCCATACTCCTGTTTGGGGGTGAGAGCCTCGGAGTAAGACATGACCCTGCGCCTGTTGCTGTCCCTGATGCGCAAAGGGCAAGGGGACCTCTCAATGTCACCCGGAATGGCACGCTTCGCTAGCCGCTAGCTCTGCACCATGCTGGTTTTAAATGTATTTTTTTGGCACACCTACCTAGCATGGTTCTGGCTTGAAGCAGTGTCAGCCATGTCTCGAGCGTGGTTGGATTTTCCAACCGCT